TAGTTCCAAAAAGCCAAAATCAAGAATTTTACATTGCAAACAAATAAAAGGAATAAAAAGTATCTAAGCAGAAAACACTCCTACTGCCAAAAGGGTAAAATAAGTATACAAAAACAAACAGGCTTTACTAGAAATGGCTGGACACAGGGAAAAACAAAAGTTTGGCAGCCCAGAATTTAAAGTCTTCTTGACAGGTAAGGATGATAGAAGATGGCATTCAGAGACTCAGCATCTCCCCAACAGGTAAAACAACCCCATTTAAAGGTGTGAACTTTTTTTTTGTAAAGGAACTGAATTTTCTGCTGAACTGTCTTTCCAGTGCAGTGTGGCCCTTCTGCCTGCTCCCAACATCACACAGAGTAGAAAATCTGCCCAGTTCGTTCCTCCTAGGCTATTTCCTTTGCTACTAGCATCCTCCCCTGGCCCCTGACAATTGGTGGGACCTCCCTTCCAGCACTCATAATCCGTCCCCCCACACAGACACATCTCCTCGCTCTTCATCCTTTTTATTCAGCAAGTCTCAAGTCTTCTGAGCTAGGGATCGCTTTAGCCCCCATCATTTCAATCATAACCAAAGAGCAACATCATCTTCACAAGACAGTCCTCACTCCACCTGCCATGCAATAAAGTGAATATTAGTTTTGGGTTTGTTTGCTCGGTAGTGTAAAATATTAATTTAAAACAAATATAGTCACATTCAAAACATAAATATTTGAGAGGCCAGTTATTGAGTGATTACTTTTATTAGATGCTGAGTATCTGTTTTCCCTAGACAGAGGATGCCCTTCCATGGTGGACATGTGTGATGAGCCTTATTGGTTATTCTACTTAGTAGGTGCTCGATACACTTTTGTTGAATGAAAAAATGCAAAATGAATAAATCTAAGGATATCTTAGATTGAACTTGTAAAACTTTGTGTTTCTAGGTCAAAACTGTATCTCTTGTGGGCAGGCAACGTTATCTTCTCTTTCCTCACCTGGACCCCCTTCACTCCTGCCATCAACTCTGTCACTTCCTCCACATCATTCAAGGCCTTCTCTTGCAAAGAACACATTTTCCACTGTACCAGCTCAGGCTTTTTGCCTCCTTCCTGCCCTTGTAATAATCACATGACATTCAGAGTCTTACAGATGAGCTCTTGATGTTCCCAGTGTCCTCATTCTGCTTTCTCCATGCCCCTCCCCGACAGGGGTGATGATGCCCTCCTATGCTGCATGGCGCTCACCACAGCAACAGAGCAGCGCTCAGTACCTTGGATGCACCAGCCTACTCAGTTACCATGGGTACTTTTTTCAAACACTACTAATAAATGGTCATAAATGTACAGTCAATGTCTTTGGGGAACTTTAAACTACAAAAAATAAAAAGTAAACTATAGATGCAACTTAAAGCATATAAAAAGATAGTGAGATGGCGTGGGGAAATGAAAGCCAAATCAAAAGGAAGGCAGCACTGGGTTGGGGGAGGCAGAGCACAGTTCTATACAGCTTGACAAGATACCACAGCCTGAAGAAAGCCAAGGAAGCCTACATTCACGACTTTTTCAACAAAGCCCTTTAAATATAACATTTAAGAGGACATGGGGGGCTGCCAATATTTTTTTCCTAATTTGCCCTCTTTTTGACTACTTCATGAAAATAATTTTTGTGCACTGAATCTGTCCTCTTTTCTTCGCTTTTAGAGTGTGATTCTGATGCTGTCAATGGATTATATTCTGTTTTGTACACAGACAGAATTCATACAGCATCAGGAAAGACTTTAGAGATCATCTTGCCACCCCCAAATTATAGACAGGAAACTGAGGCCTAGCCAGCAGAAGCCATTTGCCAAGCCACAGAAGTGAGTCCTAGAGAGTGGGCTCTGGGTCCTGCTCTCCAGTCATGGTTACAGCTCCTCACCACCTGGGAAAGCTGCCATTCTTCTAGCCTGCTTCCTTCTCTACCAAAGTCACTAGTACCAGCTTCTACTGCACCCAGTTGTTGGGAGACTAAACAAGTGACACATGTAAGGCACAGAGCTGCAGCATTAGCAGCACTCATAGAAGTTGGGCATTTTCACCAAGGTCACATTTCCAGGAGGTGGCTGAACCCGGACTACACCAGGAACCTCTGAACTCAGTGCTGCCTTCCCTATACCTGAGTGTTCAGTGAAGCCAGCAGCACCCTCCACATGATAGATGGACAGGAAAAAGCAGTGTCCCCCAACATCATCCCTGAGCCTGTCACTGGCATTCTCTTGTGGGCTGGGACATTATAGCTCACATGAGGCTGACTACTGCTGAGCCATGACAAAAGAATGAGGAAATGCGGACTGCCTTTGCCCTCCTTCCAGAAAGATGAAGACAGAATACTTCCAGAAGTCACAACCAAGACTGTACAGAGCTTGGGCCCCACACTCCTCTTCCTCTTAAAGCCCAAGCTGCCCAGGTCAGGTTCCTTGAAAGGCACCCCACTGAGAGGCTGGTCCTGTGCAACCTTGCAGCCCCCATGGGTGGTCTGTATGATCCTGTGGAGTGTACATCCCTTATGGGGTGGTCAAAAAGGTTTCCCTCGTGGATTGGAATGAACAGAAGCAGCCAGGTAAGCGAGGACTTGGTCAACAAGACCACAGTATATGGAAATATAGGAAACTCTGCTCTGTGGGACCTAGCTGCATGTTCCTGATTCTTTTGACAGGTCCCTTGGATGTGTTTCTGTGACTGAATTTCTCTTCCAGAAATAATAGCTCCACTTTCCAGGGTTTTCTTCTCTCAGTGAGATCTACCAGGCTGCCGGCAACCACATAAATATACTCTTAGAAAGCTAAAGAAATGCAGTAACTCTCACCTTTCTCTGCTAACAAAAGCTCTCCTCCAAACACTTCCTGCTCCTTTGGAAGCTAACTGACCTGCCCACACCACACTCGAAACAAAACCCAAACTCCTCACTGTGGCCTTTGTGACCCCACCCTGCCCACTCTCAACTCAGATCATGTCCTCCTTTCACCTCACTCAAAGCGCTCTAGGCACCCCAAGTGGCTTCTCACCCCCAAGCCCTTGCCCTGCTGATCCTGGGTAGGCTGTTGCCCAGCACCGTACTCAGGGTGACCCCTTTGCCACCACATCTCACTCAGACACCACCTCCTCAGAGACCTGCTTTAACTGCCTGGCCCTATAACTTATCACCTCACTGGCCTTTTTTGCTTTCTTCTCTGTAGTGCTTATAATGTTTTGAAGTTATCTGTTTATCTGTTTATCTGTTTATCTGTTTATCTGTTTATCTGTTTATCTGTTTATCTGTTTATCTGTTTATCTGTTTATCTGTTTATCTGTTTATCTGTTTATCTGTTTATCTGTTTATCTGTTTATCTGTTTATCTGTTTATCTGTTTATCTGTTTATCTGTTTATCTGTTTATCTGTTTATCTGTTTATCTGTTTATCTGTTTATCTGTTGCCTGGGTGTTCAAGGATTGCCTTACAGAACATAAACCCATGAGGGCAGAGACCTCGTGTGCCCTTGCTCCTGCATGTTTTATATTTCTACCACCTTGCTTGGGCACATTCAGTCAGATGTTACTGAATGAATGCAAATAAGGATATACTGACATCAAGTCCAACGGTCTATTTATCAGACAAAAAGCCACCAATGTGCAAAATATAAAAGAATTACCTAAACATAACCTTCTCCTGGATTATGAAAACTGAAGTGAAGAGAACCAATGACACTTGCCCCAAGTCACTCAGCAAGTGATGAAAGGCAAGGAAGCCCACATTAATGACTTTTTTAACAAAGCCCTTTAAATATAAAATTTAAGAAGGCTTGAGGAGGAGGGGACTGCCAATATTTTCTTAATTTATGCTCAAGCAAGGTCTGGGTTGAGGGTTCCTGGTCCTTCAGCTGGTGTTCTTTCAGCCTTAAACACCTGGCCAGAATCTCTAGTTCATGAACAACTCTTCTTCACATACTAATTCAGTTATTCATTCAACACAGCTTTCTTGAGCACATCCTTCTCTAAGTTTCAGGAATTGTGCTGAGAATAGAGACCAAATCAAATCTGGTCCTGAGTCCCTTACCTGCAATCTCAAAAAAATCACCCCATGACCATGATTGGATCTTTCTGCTGGGGGCTCCCTGGCATCATTCTGCAAATTGTTCATCCTCCAAGAGTGGAGTGAACTGGACCTGTTCCTGTCCCACGATACAGATTCTCTATAGAATCAGTGGTCAAGAGAGCTAGAGGGAGCAGACCTCAGAGCACACGCAGTAAGCTGGCTGAGAAACTGATAGCTTCTTGCCTGCTGGGACTGAACTTCCATGGAGAGGAAGCTCACAGAGACCTCTGCCAGCCCAACTCACACCACCCTGAGTGACTTCCCTGGCTAGTCACAGTGTTTAAGGGAACAGATGCAGAGGATCGGAGTGTGTTCTGGTGGCCCAGAAGAAGGCCTTCCTCTTTCCATTCACTGAGTATCAGGAGGTGGCCACCCTGAGAGCCAGCAGCCTGAAGAGCTGTCTTTCCTGCGCCCAGTCAGATGCTGTGTTTTCCTCTCTTTGAGAGTGAGTCTGAGACTAAAGTGCAGAGGCTGCACAAGGGGGTGGGGTCAGCACTGAACTCCTGGACTGAGTAGAACATGGGAAGGGGCTTCCCTGCCACACAGATGCTCTCCCTCAGGCTGGCCGTTCTGCTCAAATGGAGTGTGAGGAGCCCACCTGTTGGGAACTAACACAAAGCAGATGGGGGCAGTAAGCATCCCCAGTGAAGCATACCTTTCTCTAGGAGGCCTCCCCCAGGGCTCAGCAGCCACCTCTGGAGACCTTCATCTGAGTGCTGAAGCAACTGTTCAACAGCCATCCTCAGCCATACTCTAGTCAAACTGGACCCAGAGAGAAGGTGAGAGTACCAAGAGAGCTCTCCAGCCAGGGTGGCCTGATAAGTCTCCAGGCCTTCACACAGAGTCAGCATTACATGGCCTGGCTCTTCCGGACTCCAGCAGCCAGCCCAGCTCTCAGCAGCAAGCAGGTTACAGCCACACCACTCACTATCCATCTTGGAAAGGTCAGGCACTAAATTTGGAACTTAGCTTTTAGATCTTTTCATCTATAAGTTATCTTGAGGCTGAAGGAAAAGGTTCACAGAGACACGTGCCAGAACAGCAGAATAAATATTTCCAAAGACAGAATTTATCTGTCTAGTTTTAACAACAACAGCAATCCTAGTTATCACAATGAAACCCTTATGTTTATACAGCATTTGGTGCTTTTCAGAGCCCTTCTATACATCCTCTTATTTGATCTTGCCATGACTCACTCTTATCTTTATTATTATTATCTTTATTTCACAGCTAAAGAATCTAAAGCTCAGTAAAGTGACAAGGCTATGCCACTAGTCAGTGATAGAAATGCAAGTAGAACCCAGGATCATAAAAACTGGCTCAGCGCTTCCTCTCTATCTCTCGTGCTCTATCATTTAGGCCAAAATTCTATGTCTCCACCTTTCCAAACAGCCCTGGAGAGGTCAGACACATCCTGGAAAGACTAACTCCATAAAAGGGACATGAGATGGCCTTTTTATACCATAAGAGATCTGGGGCTGGATGTTGCTATAGTCCCCCACATGTAGTACCTCTAGCCCTGTCGCCAGACAAGTATTCACTGGCAACTCAAAAAGTCCCCAAGTTCACAAGCTATCCCAGGTAGCTCCCAAGAATGGGTTCCAATGACTCTGTCCATAAGGAGAGTCATTCCTGTTCTTCAGATCTTGAGACCCTTTAACCCCTCAGCTGATTCAACTCATTGGTCCCTGTGAAAACAGGGCCTCAAAGCCAAGTCCATCTCTCAGGTGGCAATGAATGGCAGTGCCTCTTCTATGCCCAGTGCCCATGTTCCCCAAGTGGATAAGTAAGGGGCTCAGTGGCAGTGCCCCTAAGACACTCACAGACATGCCTAGACTGAGGACTTCTCCCAAGTCTAACTGCTGCTTTTCCTCTGGTGCTCCTTGATAAGGGATGATCACAACCATGACATACACTCCAGTGAGGGTTCACTGCAAGCACATGCCCTCCCTCCTAGCACTCAGTGGGGCTGTGCAGTGCAGCGGTGGCAAGCACAGACCTGGGTGCTGCTGACCTGGGCTGGTCAGGTCTGCCACCTCATAACTGTGTGACCTTCGGGCACATGAGTTTACTCCCCTGTACCTCTGCACATCTTAAAAATAGGATGACTATGATAAATACATACAATTATCATATATCAACTTAAAATGTAAATAAGTAAAGGAATGATTATAATTATAATGGAGGTCTAGGGAGTTGCTGAAAAGACTAAATGACTTAACACATGTCATGTACTTAGAACAGTGCCAGCAATGTAAGTGTTGACGTTACTGTTGCTATTATTATTAGTTGGAAGGCACAAGTCCAAAAATTTCAATTACAGGGGAACCAGTGAGAACAAAGGGAAAAAAGGGGGAAAAGGCTTCTGAGAAGCCAAAGTTAATGTCACAAAATGCATATATTAAAACTAAGGCACTTAATTCATACATTAGTCCCTCGATCAGAATCTATTTACTCTTGCTTTGCACATAACTGGAAGGGATGAAGTTATCCACTTTCTAAGAGAGGTGCAGGAGGTTAACAAGGTGGGTACTAAGGCAAGGCAGTCACCCCAACAGGTGGGTGTTAAAGACACGCCGAAATCCTTTCTCAGACCTTCGCACTCTAGTAGGACTCTTTAAGGTTCCTTTGTATCTTGATGGCTTCACAGTATTACTGGAAGTCCAATAACTGGAATTCCTAATGATTCTGTGAGCTCCCAAAAAGAACGAGATATGTTCAATGTTTTTCTTTTAAGGATCCAGGGATTTCTATTTTACATTCTAGAAATATTTTCTTGAAATATACTTAAATGCCAAGGAGCTTGGTACTTGAAAGGAGTTCCATTGCATAAGAAGTGAATTTATATGGAACATTTTCCCCCCAGAATGAATAAAGATGGGTAAAAACTGAGCAAGAGGTGTGACCGTATTTAGACTTCAAAGTATCACCTCCTGTCCTCCCATCTATCGGCAAATGCAGAGCAGAGCAGACAACGCCTCCTCCTCACTCTGAAATATTTAGTGTGTAAACACTGAGTCAAACAATGGCCCCAGGCACCCTGAGGGTTTATAACCATCAGATTAGGCACAAATCTAACAAGGAGCTTGCTGTCCAATTGGAAATGCCATGTTCCTGACGAGGCCTGTGATCTCTGTTGGCCTCCCTTCCCCACACTGGCCTTGCACAATGTCCTGTCCCTCCCCAGTTCGGTCCCTCCTCTCGATGGCCCTGGGTCTCAGCAAGTGCTTCGTCTGTGTGTTCAGCCCCTGTATATCTACAGATCAGCTTTTGCCAAGGGGAGATCCAAAGAATCTCGCTCCTCCAGCTATATGTGATGGTGTGAGCCGGGAAGGCCACAACCCTGACTGATTCTAGGAATCAGGAGGCATGTGACTTCCAGGGAGGTGGCAGCAGCCCCATGGTGAAGAACACAGAGCTGGAGGCACAGTGCCTGCAACAAGTGAAGGCCACACAGGTCAGGTGTCTTTTCCCAGGCCAATTCCTGCAACCCTGGCTCCAGTGAAGCTTTGAATCATGTGCTGGTTCCACTCAGATCAGCTTACTCAGAATCTCTGCAACAATACCCTACTTGGAAGAAGCATTTTCCCAATGTATTGGCCCAGGCTAATTCTCTCACCCAAAAACAGGCTGTCCACAGCTGTCTTCCCACTCTTTCACTCTCTCAATAGACCTGGGCTTCACAGCACCCAAATCAACCAGGGATCCCTGAGCTGACTGGCTGAAGACACAAAATACTTATGGGATGGGACATGGGGCCCCTGTAGGCTAGGGAGGGGTCGCTTTTGAGGGCTCTTCTTTCAGCATTAATGATTTCTGCTTCCCTCCCTACATAATCAGAAAATGAAGGTGAGCACTCACAGACACACAGCAATACTGCTGCCAGAAAGCAGGGAGGTTTTTGGTTTCCTCTTGCAACCTCTGAGCCAAAAGCTAGCGTGGGTGCCATTCTTCCTTGACATCCCAGGGACCTGGGGAGGGGAGTAGCTGTCAGCCTCTGGTCTTGAATTCCAAAGGACAGCACATGTACGCCCATGCCAGGCAAAGTCCCACACATTTCACATGCATTAACTCATTAAGCTCACAGCCAGGTTAGAGTACAGTCTGGTTGCCCCAATTTCCCAGCAATCCATGACATCCTGAGCTTCATCTCAGTCTTGCTCTGGCCCCTCTGAAGGACCATTCTTTCCTCCCAGAGCCTCTGAAGAAGAAAAGTCTAGCCCCAAAGCCAATGCTTGTCTGCCTCTGCCACTCCCCCTCCACCTCTGTTCTAAGCTTGGCTCTTGCTCCAGAAAGTACATGGCATTGTTTTTTGCACAAGGTCAAATGCCAGATATATTCTCTAAATATTCCAATTCAATCCAAGTCTCTGTGGACTGCAGGATTTGCAGAGAATGAGGAGTCTTCCACACACAACAGGTCCTCTCTGCTGGGAGAGTCTGTTCAACAGACCTCCTGAGCAAAGGCTATTGGTAGAATGGGTTATAGCTGCTATATTATAAATGATGCACTGCATGGGAGGTGGCATTGCCAATGCCAGGACATGACTAATAAAGGACATATCATGTCATGGACCAATTCGGCTTTCATTATGCTTTACTAGTATGAAGAAAAGATAACAAAGATGATGGATTTGGGTGCAAAAGTATATGTTACATGGAGCATAACACAAAGATTTTTATTTGAATAACAAAGGAAGATTTCAAAACTAAAGTTCTCTTCTAGAATGCTGCTCATCTCTAGAAATGAAAAGGGAGCAAAGTGTTAGAAAAAGAAACGGGCATACAATGAAGAAAGTAAGAGAAAAGGCCCATGAGAAAGTTCATGGGAGCTGATGAATTTTCAAGAGAAACTGAGAGCAGGAGCACGAGTAGACAGGAACTTGCAGCATCTGTGTCAGGGTGAGTGTGCTTCACTACACAGGATTGTTCTCAAGCCCGACAGAATGGGAGACCTCACATGCTTGACCTGTGTGTCGTCCTTCTGTTTGGATCCTACAGAGGTCTTGTGGGTTGACAGAAGTGGACTGCGGAGAGAGCTGAAGATGGAGAACATGCCAGATCACTGTTCTCAAAGAGCACTGCGTGATTCCCCCAGCATCAGAATCACCAGAGGGGCTTCCTGAAAATGAAGACTGGAGACTCATGGTAGGCACAGAATCAGAATGTGCAGGGAAGGACCTGGGAACATGCACTTGAACCAACCTGCCATGCTCAGAGCTTGAGAGCCACTACTACAAGTATATTACCCTCTCTCCTTTGCTATCACTCAGAGGACTCCAAAATGGCAATTTTTTATTTCTAAAAAAGAAAAAAGAAAAAGCTACGAAACTAACAGGAGAGTTCTCAAGCTTTGTTTTGGGGCTACATAACTTATTTGAGGAGTCACATTCTGGAACAAGGGGAATGTTTCAATTGCTGACCCTCTGTAAACAGTACTTCTGCACCTACTATTCCTTGGTCCAGGTAAGGATACACACTCAAAACAACATCTTCTATTTCCAGCACAAGGATCAACTCAGCTCTTCAAAGTCAACCTGATCTTCTAGGTGTCAAGACTTGAGGTGCTGTAAAGTCTCTGACCTGCCAATTAGTCCCTCTTCCACTTTTAAGCTCTCTGTTTCCTTAGCTTTCAGCACTTCACTTGCTGCAATTTCTCTTCTTATCTCTCAGGCCACACCTTCCCCATATTCTTCCTTGGCTCCTCTTCCTCCACCCACCGTGCAACCATCAGTTCTCTCCAGGGTCTGGTGGTGGCTTTCATCGTCTCCACCCTGTGGCAGGTGTTCTAGCCCAGGCCCATGGCCTCTTCCTCTTCCTCTCCTCCTGCTGTGTATGGTTCCTTCCTCAGCAAAAACTGTTACTAGTTCCAGGCCCTCTCTCCTGCCCACTCTTCTCTCGACAATTCCCCGATTGTCCCCATCCATCCTCTACACCTTAAATGTGACCTTTCTCATGAAGCCTTTTCCTGGCCACCCACATCAATCCCAGAAATCAGTCTTCTCCTTCATTTACAATACCCAGCTGGTCCCAAGTCCAAGCAAGTCTGCCTTCTACTTTTCCTATCCCTATAGTCACTATCAACTATCCTCCTCTCTACTATCTAACCCTACTATCACTGTCATTCATATCTTGGCAAAGTTTCTTTTAGTCTTCACAAATACGAGGCTCACCCTGTAAGAATCCTGTCCTGATAACAAAGCTTTCAGGGGCACCTTATCACCTACAGTTCAGTTCAAAAGTTGACAGCGGCCATGAAACCCCCATCATCTGATTCTTCTCATTCACTCAAATCAGCCCCCTATCATAAACAGTGTGACCACAGGGCCTGTGTAAATGTGTATAACTCAGTCTGAAATACCTCTATTGGCAAGGAAATCACCTCTTGTAAGATGTTTTACTATTTGCAAAAATCTGCTTATGTGTTTGTCTTCCTCGTTAGTCGTAAGTTCTGCCTCCAGAAGTATCCCAAATATATTGCCTAGCCCCTGGAGTGAATGTTTGCCAAATGGCTGCATAAGAGTAAGACAGACCAAGAGAGACTGAAGATTCTCAGCCTGTCACAATGGTCAGGCAAAAGGTGATACAGCACTGGGTAGGATGGTGAGGAAGATGATGATGATAATAACAATAATAATATTAATAATAATATCCTACATTAATAATATCCAGCACTCCCCTTCCTACAGCACCGTTTTAAGAGCTTTTCATATTCTGACTCATTTAATGCTCATGGCAACCTTATGAGGCAGATTCGGTTATTACTGATATTCTCACTTTATAGATGAAGAAACTGGGGCAAGTGAAGCTGAGATACTTCAACAAATTACTGAGGGAACAGACAGAGGGTCAAATGTGATCTATGGCCAATTTAACTCTGCATACTGTATGCCCATTAAGATGGGCATGGGGAGCAAAAGGAGCAGCAAGGCACTTGTGCTGCTCTGGGGAGCAGGTGTCTGTGGCAGGAGAGACGGTGGACTCTGTTTGGGGCCTGTTTGCTGAGGCATCTGCAGGGCACCCTGCACAGATCACAGGGCACCACTGCCATGGTGTGGCTCTTTCTAGCCAGTCTGCCTTGCTGTTCCCAGTCTCCTCTGAGGTGAGGTAACTTCTATTTGACAGTCTGGGAACTGAGGTTCAGAAAAACTAAATCACTTGAGATTCAGGTCCAAAGCAATAAAGTGGCACAGCCAAGATGTGAACTTAGGACTGCCCAACTCAAGCTTTGCTCTGAGGCCTATAGTTTGCAAATCTAAATGTTAGCACCTCGAGAAGGAAATTTTGAAAATAACATATTCCTAAGCTGGGCCCCAAACTCATAGATCTGCTTCAAATCCCCACAGTGCTGATATCCACATGGCAGAGACTCTCTGGACACTGTCATGACAAGCAGGCTTGGGAGTCACTAAAATGGTCCACAGGCCCCCCTGGCAGGTCACAACAGCCTTGGCCTGAAGGAAGACGTCAAAGCTGGAGATATCTTAGGAACAACTGACCTAGAGGGGGGATTTTTCAGTGTGAGGTCATAGATGAGCTTCCTTAGAAAAGATACAGGAAAAAAAAAAAAAAGAAAAAGGCCGAGAACAGAACGTTGGTAAAACTTTCAGTAGATGTAGGAAGAAAGGCTCAAGGGAACAAGGGCTGAGAGAGCTTTGAAAGGAGACATTTATCATCATAAGATGCTGCAAAGAAGGGAAAGAGGATGGGCCAGCTCACGGCACCTCTATTAATTATTTCCACAGATCAGGATAACTTTCTGGTCTACCATCTGATGTGAGCTTTTGTTTATTTGTTGGTTTTAGGGGTTGGTTTTCAATTTTCACTTGGCTACCACATGCCCCCACCACTCAATTGGTGACATTCACTACCCCAGGGAATGTACAACACCATGGAGTGCAGAGAATAAAGAGTCAGATCCATAGCACTAATAAGGTATCATTTATATATCATACAACTCACCCATCATAAGTACCCAAAGCCGGTGATTTTTTTGGAACATTCTATCACTTTTTGGTATGATTTCAGACAAACCACTGTCCCTCCAAAATCACCTGTACCCAGCTAGCTGCCTCCAGAAGTTCCACGCTGACCCCTGCTCTCTCCCACTGGTCCCTTCACCTCCTCCGAGGGGCAGGACTAATGAGGCTTGGCCAGACCAGGCTCCCTTGGGGCAGCAACCCAGGACACTGCTCGGTCTCCTGTGAGCTGTGGGATGAGGGCTACTATGTGGTCATCACCAGGCCTAAGATAAGCCAGATTCCTTTCCCGCCTATATCCCTGCCAGGGCCTGAGGACCCCAAAGCCCTACTTCTTTTTAAGCACAGGACATGGATTCTATTTGTAACTAGAGCTTCTTTTTAAAGGGTGGCAGATTGAGTGCTATGCTATAGGAGGGGTTCCAGAAGGACACGGTAGGGGAGGGAGGTAAACACACAGAGAAGAAATAGAGGCAATGGATGTAATTCTTGCTTTGGGGAGATATTTTTGCTTGTACCTATTTTGACACAGTGGTGATTTCTTGCTTGTTAGGAGACAAGGTCATGCCTCAGAAGGCCACGTGGACTGCAATTAACAGTCTGCAGTCTGACTCCAGCCATATCATCCCTCGGCACACACTGTTTAACTGTACCACAGCGTTGGGAGCCTATCCCCAGCATGCGGCCCATGTTGAACCATGAGAGACAGCACTCCCGTGTGCACCAAACACCCTACCCTACATGGATCTGCAGCTAATGGGAAAACAGGGAAAATGGCAGAGAAGCCTAAAATGTGTGTCAGGTTTATTTGCCAAAGGAGCCAAAGGAAATGTCCAATGTTACAGGACAAAAGAATTACCAACCCAATTGCATCTGGAAAGCAGAATCTTAAAACCCTCCTGTTTCTTCTACAAACAGTGTCATCTGACACTACATCTTGCTCATACAGAGAGGTAATGACCAAAGGGGAAAGACAGTGGCTTTAGTGGCCAAACACATTTTGTAGAAACCATATGAAAAACAATGGTGTCTTCACAGGGCAGGGGAGAGACAAGATTTTTCTATGTATTCCAGTGATAGAGGCATCCCAGAGTGTCCTAATTTTGCCAGCTACATTCCAGAGTTCTTTTCCTCACATGCCCAGACAGAGCGAAGGCTTTTGTATTTGTGATGACTTCACACTCAGCCAAAAGTAAACATGCTCTCCACTTTTTCCATGGACAAATCCTAACCCCAAATTGCCAGCATTGGCCTCTCTGCAATCCAAATGGAAAGCCGCCTTTCCCAAGAAAATAAAACCCTTTTTAACTCAATAATACATCTTGGCTGCAAAAGCAAACTTTGCTAAAAGCTTCTTAGAAATTATTTATCATACAATCATGCAGCGATGCTGCAGATCCCCTGAGCAAACCCTACCAATGAAACAAAGGCACTCCAAATACATGAGCAAAGGATCCACGAGCAAACATTCACTCCAACAACACCAACACTCACAACCCAGGCAGCAAATTTTAACCTGCACAGAATCTGCAACTCAACACACACACACACACACACACACACACACACACACACACACACACCCCTCACTGCCACCTAATTGCAGCAGCATTCTTTCTGAAAACAGGCAGCGAAAAGACAGGTGCTAATTTAAATAAAGAGTAAAATGGCACTCGAAATGCAAGCTCTACAACACTTCAGTACACTTCAAACACATGTCTTATTCCTCCTGCACATTCCAACTCGAATCCCTGTGCCTGGAGCTCAGTCCTCCACCAGCTAGTAAGGAGTGCAGACTTGAGGACTTACCAGGTTGGAATTCGTGGCGTTGGAATCATCTTCTGGGAAAGGAATATAGATTGCTAAGGCCACACAATTGGCAAATATAGTCAGTAAAATAATGATTTCAAATGGTCTGAGGAAGGGAGTTAAGGAAGCAGTAAGCACAAGTGAAACAAACATACATCTATATATTATTTTTAAATGAATCAAAGATTTGTAAGAATTTTGTTTAAACAATGCATTCCAAGCCCCTTGTATTCTGAGAAGAAACATATGCCTTTTTAAGTGCTTCTCGTGGGGCCCCGCCAAAATTTTTCCTAATATGTCAAAAGCAGTGGAGGCCAGTCGCGTGCCAGAGTAAACACAGATTTCTAAAAACTTTTTTCCCCTTCTTTTATTTATTTAGATTGTATTTGACTTCATTTTCCCTCATGTGTGCTTGGGGTGGCTTTTACAGAACAGTGTCTGCCCCAGGCAGGACTCCCCAACACCCCGTTTCTGCATGGCT